ACATCCTTTTACAACCTGTACAGAAGATAAGACGGCAAACATATACTATAATGGCTTTATATATATATATATATATATATATATGTCTCTGCTAAAACACACGCGTAGAATGCGTATACATAAAAAATGGATATTATGTAGGCCTGTATAGCGGGAAAACTGACAGTCGATTTTGGATCCGACTTGACATAAGGCGTGTTAAAGCTGATAGATCTTAATATCAGAATATGTCAACCCCGATTAAATTTATTCATTGATATGATATCAAACACTTTGTATGTACCTTATTGCAATGTAAATATATTAAATAAACAAAAATAGTTTCTGCTTTAATTAGGCTAATTTTGATGTCAAACTCCTGGGTTACGGATATGGAAGCACAAGAAATATTAGCGGTGCAAGCATTAGGCCCTAAAAGAAGTGGCCAACATGGCTCTGACAACCCAACCACTCACAATCATGCTCTACATCCGCACGAGGCATATACATCCTAATTTGCAAGAATGCTCATGAAAAATATGCCGTACTTTGTGTTTTAATCAATTACCTGGAACAATTGTAGTATTCATTTATCTGTTTTACTAATTTGTAGCATTATTTTGGAGATTTGAAAGATCGAAAACATCCATTAACGCGTATTAATCTCCTGTAGGTAATAGAGTTAAAAAATCCAAGATGGAGGCGAGAGCCAAGCACGACTTCAAAGCTACGGCTGAGGATGAATTAAGCTTTTCACGAAACGTAACACTTAAGGTTTGCAGTTTATTTGCATTTCATTGATATGTCCCGATACATTTCCTTCCTCTCCGATATCTTTTTGTTTCTTAAACAAACAAAATACGAGACTTTCTTCTTGTAACCCGCATGATATTGTTTACGTCTGGCTGATTTGGAGACAATCGGCACTCTCTATAAATACTTTGCAAAAGTTCTTTTTCATTCTGGGATACGATTAACATCATCTGACCATTGATTGTTCTGTTTATGCGGTTTCTTATCCAATGCTTATAGTGTTCCGTTCTAGATACTCATAAATGTCAATACTCATCGTAAACAACCTCAAAATGCATGAATGATTTTTTTCTATGCCTGGTTCGTCATCTTTCGTATGAGTCATGCATACCATAGTTCTTTTTTCTTGATGAGGAGTTTTATGGTACTTTTTGTGTCTTCATGTTAGCCAGGTACTTTTTGTGTCTTAATGTTAGCCATATATAACCACCAAAAGTCTTTTTCATAATTTGATATCGGGTAACTCTCTACTTTTTGTATAGGCCTATGTCATAATATGGGGTTGTGTGGATGAAATCATAAGTTTCTTTTTAATTAATTCCTAACAGAATAGTAAGCGAGTGACTAAGTTACATTCAGTACATATTTCAGATTTAGTTTAAATCAATTTATCCACAGGATTCCAGCCTATCAGATAGTTTTCCTGATCAGTATTGTGTGTATTGGTTATCTTCAGATTGTTGGTCAGTGTGTTATGGATTAATAGAATCTATCACTCCTGTGTGATATAGACAGATGTATCTCAACCCTCGGGATGAGATATTTTTTTTAGGTTTAGCACTCTGCTTTATAGACAGAGATATCTCAACCAGAGGGTGAGATATTTTTTTGGGGTTTAGCACGAGGCTTTGCCGAGTGCTAAACCTAAAAAAAATATCTCATCCCGAGGGTTGAGATATCTCTGTCTATATCACACAGGAGTGATCGATTATTTTTCTCCCACATTTTCATACCGTAAAAATACCTCCACTGCGAAGTTGTATTTTTGACCCCGATGCACCGTACTATCATCAATGGCGCATGAATACACGCATAGCCGCTGTACTGCAAATGTGTGTTAAAAAAAATCCGCAACGTCAATAATAAATAGAAGTCATAATTAAATTTAGATATTTTATACATTAGTAGTATTAGCAACGTTATATTGTATATTAACATTTTTTGTCATAAGATTAAGCGATATAGTGTCTTTAACGAAAACACACAGAACTAATTGCACTCCCTGACTTCACGCTTCGAAAAGTTCACTCGGAGTCAGAATACAACACCCTCGGTCGTTTCGTTTTGGGGGCTGACATCGTTGTGTTATTGTTTATAGTTATGTTAAAGGTTCCTCCAGTGATTGTTGTGCCTTGGAAGATACTTGGGATTTCACATTCATTGGATTTTAATTTACGAACGCGTTCAGGTTCGCACAAGGACATGCTGTTGTGCGCTGTAGTCACATGTGTAATATTTGTTGACTGTTCGTTTGACATTGGCCGATGTGAGGTAGGTGCACTAGACCCAGTGTGTCGTCCTAAGTCCGTTTGTACGGTTTTATTTGGGCGATTTGTCATTGAGAGAAGAGACGACATCTTCTGTTTTTGTTTATTGTTGACTGTTCTGTAATTGTTCAAAGATTGAATGTTTTTGTGACCGGTTAATGTGATTGCCTGTGCATCTGGAATGTTTTCGTCCAAAAGTTTTTGACACGTGTATTTGCGAACACTGGTATTTGTCAATCTTTTTTGCACAACATTGTTTTCGGACCTGTTAGTAAACATTCCACTTTTTGTCACCATAGTTTTCATTAATTTAAACAGTTTGTTGCGCCCAACAGGAGCTCTCAAAAACCACTGGTCGCGTTGGTGGGGAGTTTTGCTGTGCGTCACCGTACCGAGGTAAAATGGGTGTTCGTCATCACAAAAATTGACAGGTCGCTTTTCCTTGTAAGCTTTGTACGTTTCTACTGGACATTTGTCACTACCGGGTTCCGCGTACATTGCTGGCTTTGTACTCCTTGTGTTTGTAACGTCTATACCTGTCCGTGTTTTTGTCTGTCTTTCGTTAAATTGTAAAAATTCTCTTTCAAGTTCCTGGTCATATCCAAGTTTTAGGTCACCCCAGCATAACTGTCTGTGCTCATCTCCTCCCCTCATCCCGAAATGAAGCATGTTGTTAAACCATACGGTGTTCAGCAGAGATTCAGGTGTGTCTTTACCTAGCTGTTTTGTCTCATACAAAGTGTTTATTTCAGAATCGGTGATAACATCCGCTGCCATTGGTTTATTCCCCATTCCTTTCTTTTTTAAATCTTTTTGTTTGGTTTTGAGCGCCTCTCTCGTACCTGCGAACTGATGACTGGAAATCAAACTATACCCATATCTATGACGTTTTAAATACCTTTCAAACGAGCCAAGCATCCCTCTTAAGTAACTGGGTTGATACTCGCTACCATCTTTCTGTCGTACACAAATTAAAAATTTTGAAAGGTGCGAATCGAGTTCGGTAGTTGGGATTTGGTGCATTTGGCGCAATTCGTTTACGTCGTTCAGAAAATGTTCAAACAGTTTCATATGACAAAGAGTTTTCTTTTTCGTGTTAATATTCTCGTTTTGGTCCACAAAGTTTCTTAAGTCATTTTCGTCCATGTTAACAAATCTACCGGCAACGCGTGGGGCTGTGGCAGTCGCCGTCTGCTGAGGAGAGCCCGGGTGCGCCGGGGTTGTATGTGTATGTCGGGGGGTCAACATTGATTCAGATTGTCCCTGCTCTAACTCATGTAGCATTGCCTGTGTTTCTGCATGGGATATTTCACTCAGATATTTGCTCACATCAAAATCAAGCATATCAAACTCAAGTTCGTCGTCTGCTAGCCCTTTTACCAATTCATGCTTCGACGCTGTAACGATAGTACCGTTACCAAATAATTGCACTTTGTACATAACATACGTTCCTAATGGTTTAATTTCATCTACAATTCTTCCCTTTTCACCATTCCTTCCTACGGTAACACATTCGCCTATTTTGAATTGTCGGGATGTTGAGCTTGCCACTATACAGTGTTTGTTTACATGTGTATTACATGTGTGTAAAAGGCGATGATGTAATCGTTTTTGCTGAAAGTGCACAGGGTCACAGGTCATGGTGAAAGAAGTGCGTTGTCTGTGACGTAATAGCGTAGGTAGATCAAGACAGGTTTATCTTTTCCCTACCAAAAACGGGAATGAACCTGTGTTATGGATAGGAAACCCCCCCCCCCCCACAAAATAAAAAAGTTAACACACATTTAAATTTTCTCATTATATCAAGAATTCAGCAACCCTTGGAGAAATAAGAGTTATACACTAACATTTATTTCTATGTTATACCCACTTCCCACCTTCAGTAAATATAACAACATCTAGTAATGTTTGTCTGCATGTGATGCAATCATACTGATAGGATGTTGTGAATATGCATTGTACATATAGGTAGCAGTGTACAGTAGAGGGTTGTGGCCATGGGTGATATTTTTGTTAAATGGCTAACCCCTGTATAATGATATGTAAAAAAAATATAAAAATAAAACTGTACTAAAATTGGTATAAGCATGATGAAATGGGCTATGTGAGCTTCACATTTGTAAAAAAGAAAGAAGATTTCTTTGGTTCGAGAATAAAATTTTGGCCATAATGCGAAAGGGTGCGTACACATGAAAAGCTAGCTTTACAGGAGGTAAAATTTTGACAACAGCACACGACGCAAAATTGCAAAAAATCAAGTTTTTTGGTAATTTTTGATGTGGTAACCATGGTTTTCACACAAGTGACATACATAGAAAAAAGAGGTTTATACACTTCTCGGTGTTTTATATGTATTGTAAATGTAATGCAGTTTACAAATATATATACATGTATACATGTGTTGTGTAGGATAAATCCGCTGTGTTTACATTTCCTCGACATGTGCCTTGTTTATCAGAGTCAGGCCATTTCTACTGTATTCTGCTACCATAGGGTCAGTGTTGCCTTATGAATTTCTCTATCGCTAAGCAGTAGAGCATCTGACTAGAAAGACTGATTGGGAATTCACAGAAAAGGGGGGAGAAGTGTCAAAGTCGCATCGCTAGCTTTGGCTAGAGGGAATTTGCTTTCAGTCCAGCAGTATGAACAATCCGAAACGTAGTTAATGTAGTCGCGAGCTCCACAAGGGGAGGTAACCTGTACTAATGTAATCTGTTATATACGTTGAGGAAGCTGGTTATCATTTTGTGTTTAAAAAGGTAAAGTTTAATCTGAAACACTGACATTATTTAATTAGATTGAATTATTCGAATGAATAAGGGCATCATCTGGGCGAAGGCTGGATCGATCTGGGTGGCAGGCAGGAAGGGAAGTGCCAGGAGCTTCCTGATGATAATACATGAAATTCCTAATCAATAAAATTACACTATGTTATTTTAGATATGAAAATATTTTCAAATGTATGAAAACACTGTTATCGAATAGTATATTGGTCTAAAGTTATCATGGGCAGATTCTTTACTCACCTGAATCTTCACCTTCACCCTCTTCATGCTTATGAGAAACATGATTTCATTAGATACTCTTGTGTCTGTACATGTATTTTGTACTTATGAGAAACATGATTTCATTAGATACTCTTGTGTCTGTACATGTATTTTGTACTTATGAGAAACATGATTTCATTAGATACTCTTGTGTCTGTACATGTATTTTGTACTTATGAGAAACATGATTTCATTAGATACTCTTGTGTCTGTACATGTATTTTGTACTTATGAGAAACATGATTTCATTAGATACTCTTGTGTCTGTACATGTATTTTGTACTTATGAGAAACATGATTTCATTAGATACTCTTGTGTCTGTACATGTATTTTGTACTTATGAGAAACATGATTTCATTAGATACTCTTGTGTCTGTACATGTATTTTGAACGAGCGCTAGTATCAAATGAAACCATATTTTGGCCATAAATGGAATATACAATATAATATTATTATTGAATGAAACTTGATTTCATTATATACTATTTTTATATCAACATATAGTTGGACAAAGAGTTGTTCATATAAACGGGCAAAAAGTATCTAATGAAATCAAGTAACTTTAATAACGTTTAAGAATTTATTCCTTTTATGGCCGAAATAAATTCTCGTATTTTGTACGAGCGCTAGTATTATTAACACCAACAACACCTTTAATAAATTTATTTAAATATAATTGTACTTATAAATGTATATCCCATGTATTAACATATATATAGATACATAGTAGGGCCAATTTTAACTTGGGCCAATTTCACTTGAGTAAAATCGGCCTGGCCGATATTAGTTGGGGTCGATTTAACCAAATACCGTAAGTATATTTAAAAAAAAAAAATGTTGAAACAAAAATGTATTGGAATTCCTGCTGATTCAGATTCATCTGAATTTATACAGAAACGTTTGGAAAAGCTTGTGAAAATTAATATCCTGCACTTATTCATGATCAGGGGGTCAAAAAGCTTGACAGCCTCACCAAAACTAAGATTATTGATACGAGTATATGACAGGTGTGATGTCTACCAAACCCTTGGGTTAGGTAGATATGGCAATGGTGTTCATCAGTCGGTGAAGTTGGGAAAATTTGGAAATTTAGTTGAAATACCTACCCTGTTGTGGAGATTTATTATGATCTATTTTCTCTTGTCTTTAGAATGTTGGACAATAATATATAAGTTAGTCAGTATAAGTAGGTTGTCAAGAGGTGGATCAAGGGACAGGTCCAGAGGTAACTGGATAATATCTTCAAATGAGAAAAAATGTATGACATCACCTTGTTTTTAGTCCATGTTGAATTACCACAAATTGAAATCCTATTGAAACCCCTGCATCTTGTCATTCCATTGTAGATTACAGATACTAAGAAGGATGCCAACTGGTTCAAGGCAGAAATCTGTGGAAAAGAAGGATTTATTCCAAACAACTACATTGAATGGAAATCAGCACCGTATGTATATATGATATCCAAAATGGCAGAGGACAATTTGTAGACAACTTGGATTTCTTTAATTGTACTTGCAATGATATAGTTAAACACATTTAAGTAATTATGGCAGTATGGAATAACCCTGAGTATTGATTGAATAAAGTTGTTCAGAATTTGGCAGGCATTAACAATAGGGTTGTTAACGTTTGATAGGCCTTGATTGTTTGATAACATATACATATGTACTTAGTCAGTGATATTTTATTCAAGAAAACGTTGCATTACTATTAGCTCACCTGGTCCGAAAGACCAAGGTGAGCTTATGCCATACCGTGGCGGCCGTTGTCTGTACGTCAACAATTTCTTCAAATGACTTCTTCTTCTTAACCACTGATTGGAATTTAACTAAATTTGACTGGAAGCATCCCTAGTTGGTAGGGATTCAAAATTGTACAAATAGTAGGGTTAAACCCCCAGGGTTTAACCCTACTATAGAGAGGCGGAGCCGAAAGGGGACAATTTGTCTTTATTACTATAAACAACTTCTTCTGTAGAACTGTGCAATTGATATCAATCATATTTGGTCAGAAGCATTCATGGGAGGCAGGGATTGAAAATTGTACAAATGGTGGGTCTGACCCCCCAGGGTACTGAGGGGCGGGGCCAAAAGGGGTCAATTGGCTATATTGCTATGAACAACTTCTTCTGTAGAACTGTGTAACGGATATCAACCATATTTTACTGGAAGCATCCCTAGGTAGTTGGGATTCAAAATTGTACAAATGGTTGGGCTGACCCCCAAGGGGGCTGAGGGGCGGGGCCAAAAATGGTTATTTTGCTTTATTGCTTTAAGCAACTTTTTCTCTACGACTAAAAGATGTACATCAACCATATTTGACTGGAAACATCCCTAGGTTATGGGGATTCAAAATTGTGCAAATGGTGGGGTTGCCTCCTCTTGGGGTCTGGCACATTCCTTTGGATCTTATTTGGAGAATATTTTGCCATGATTACTTTGATATCCAGGTGAGCGATACAGGACCTCTGGGCCTCTTGTTTCTCCTTAAAAATTGGGAACAAGAATAATTTAAATAGAAAAAGTCAAAGTATATGATTATGTCTTGATGATGGTGAAGATTTTTTTGTCCTTTAGGTGGTACTTGGGAGATGTAAGAAGACTTCAAGCTGAAGAAATGTTGACAGCAAAAGACGGTAACGGAGCTTATTTACACCCAGATGGAGCCTTTCTTGTCAGAAATAGTGAAAGTCAACAGGGAGAATTTTCATTATCAGTGAAGTAAGTGATGCCTTGTAAGATATATTGATGTATTATTGTATGGTGTCAATCTGCATAGTATTTAGCTCACCTGCCCAATAGGCAAGTAAGCTTATGCCATGGTGCATCATCCATCGTCTGTCTTTAGTCTGGAAACTTCTCCCATTCAGACCCACTTACTTTTCCAGTCATTATCTCAAATCCAGGGTGTTATGGTGGAGATCTAGCATTTCAGACTTAACAAAGTTCAGTTTAAGGATCAGCTGCTGGACAAGAACAAAACTTTCAAGGGTACTGGTCCTTGGGCAAGTACTTTTGAAAAATTATCTACCCAATACTGGTCCCAAAATTATACCTATATACATTTAAATTTTATGGAAGTAAGTAGCCTTTACAAAATCAAGAGTCTTTCAACAGTAATTCAGCTTTTTTTCTGTCATTCATATTCATTTGATAAGGAATACCCCAAAAGGCTATGTCCTGATAGAAATAATTTTAAAGAGATCATTCTGGACTGATCATCTGTCTTGCAAATAGCTAAAGACAAAAATCTGCACATGCCAACTTACCATATTTGATGATACAGAGCTGCCAGACCTGAGAATTGTTTTGCCCTACTTTAGCAGATGATTTTATTTATATAAACTTTGACAAAAGCTAAAACTATTTTGTATCTTCAACAAATATGACATATTTGCTGCAGACAGGAAAGTGATTTATAATTGATAATTAAAGATTTACAACTGGAAACTCATTTCAAATTTTCCTTAACTAAAATTTGTAAACACAAAAAATAATGTCTGCTTTTTAGCTTACCAAATTTGGTCTGAAGCATCCTTGGGAGAAGGGGAACAAATTTTTGTATAAATAGTGGGTCTGCCCCCCCTNAGTCTGGGCCCCTTGGGAGCTGAGAGGCGGGGCCAAACAGGGGAAATATAACAAATTCTTCAAAATCCTTCTTCTTCTGTAGGAATGAAAGGATTTGTTCTATATTTGGTCTGAAGCATCCTTGGGAGAAGGGGAGCCAATTTTGTATTAACCATGGGTGTGGCCTCCCAGGAACCTTAGGGGCGGGCCCAAAAAAGGGAAAACATAGCAAATTATTCTTAAAAATCCTTCTTCCGTAGGAAAAAAAGGATTTGGTCCATATTTAGTGTGGAGCATCCTTGGGTAGAGGGGAACCAATTTTGTATAAACGGTGGGTCTGGCCCCCCTGGGGGCTGAGAGTTGGGGCCCAATAGGGGAAATATAGCAAATTCTTTAAAATCCTTCTTATTCTGTAGGAATGAAAGGATTTGTTCCATATTTGGTCAGAAGAATCCTTGGTTGAAGGGGAACCAATTTTGTATAAACCGTGGGTTTGGCCCCCCAGGGGCCTGAGAGGCGGGGCCCAATAGGGGAAACATAGCAAATTATTCTTTAAAATTCTTCATCTGTAGGAATGAAAGGATTTGGTCCATATTTGGTCTGAAGCATCCTAGGGTAAAGGTGAACCAATTTTGTATAAACGGTGGGTGTGGCCCCCCTGGGACCTAAGGGGCGGGGCCCGATAGGGGAAATATAGGTAAAACCTTTATAATCCTTCTTCTACCATAGGGATTAGGGGTTATTATCCTAGTTTAGTCTGGAACATCCTTAGGCAAAAGGGACTCAATTTTGTATAAATGGTGTGTCTGACCCCTCTGGAGGCAGAGAGGCCGGCCCAATAGGGGAAATAGAGGTAAAACCTTTAAAATCCTTCTTCTACCATAGAGATTAAGGGATGTTATCCTAGTTTAGTCTGGAGCATTCTTGGGTCAAGGGACTCAAAAATTGGTGGGTATGACCCCCCTAGGTTGCATAGTGATGGGGCTCTGTTTGGAAGTTTGTTCTCGCTATATCTCAAGTACTGGATGGATCTTTCTGAAATTTCATATGTACTTACAGCACCTACTTCATACCAATTATTTTGAACATATTCAGGTGAGCGATACAGGCCCTCCGGGCCTCTTGTTGTCTTTTATATTCCTAATTTGGAATCAGTAAGCTTGCAGACATCATAACGGTGTATGAAAATATACATCTCTTTTACCATTTCAGGACAGGGGAAGAAAATGTCCAGCATTTTAAAATATTACGTGATGGGCGAGGTAACTACTTTCTGTGGGTACAGAAATTTGCCTCTATCAACGAGCTTGTTGAATACCATCGAGGAAAGTCGATCAGTCGCTCTCAGAATATGGTGTTAAAGGATATGACTCAAACAGATGTAAGTATGATAAAGATATATAAACAACATTATAATTTATGTTCAAACAAGGTTATTGTAAACTTGTGCTAATGACAAAGTCCTATTTGTAACCACTGGTATGGAATTGTCTGATAAACATTGAAACCTATAATAATCTGCATATCACAACAAATTCTGTAATGTTTTATTGAAATTTGTTTTACTGTGTATCTCATGAAAGTGTGCAATGAAAAATGGCTCAGAATGCTAAAAGTGAAAGAAAGAATTTAATGAAAAAAGATGTTTTGGCAAGACATAATATGATATAATATTTATTTCAAAGAAATCAAATCCTTGATTCATTGGCAAAGCAGTGAAGTCAATCAAGGCCAAGGTTGACTTTAAATTGATTCCACTTTTGTTTAAAAAAAAATATGTGTCTATCCATCAGATATAATGTTGTCATCAGTGGTTGATATAATGTTGATGTCCTGTCCAAATATATATGATGGCTGTGTAATACATTAAGCTTGCTGTTTACTAAACCTTTGGCAAAGAAGACTGATTTTGCAATTTTTTATTTGCATGTTGTTGGTTTTTTTTTTGCAGCTTCAGCTGAAAGACGAAGTCCAGGTAAGAAACACTGAATTTTAAGAAAAATGAAATCTAATTGTTGTATGAAATGGATTAAAATCCAAGCATGATTGAACTATATGACAAGGCTTTGATATGAGTTGGCATTGCCTTCTGCATGTTATTGCATTTCTTCTGTTTATATTCACACTGGTCTATATAGACACATCAAACACACATGACATGTTCTATCTGTGCTGGCCATAGGGATTGCACATTATAGTCAAACCTTCATCTAAACAGAACAGCTTCTGAAACACCTATTGGATTAGTGGTCAACCTATTGAGATCATTATCACAAGTAACCTTAATTTCCACTAGGACCATCTAACAGATGATGATGCTCATCAGTCCTGGTGATCATTTTGTTGGCCATGCCAAACTTGATTGGGGTAGACCAGATCATGCAAGGAAGGAGGTTAGCTTCCAGAAATACTCTGAAACATCCATCACATATTTCAGAACAATATTGATTAGTTGTTCACTTCTCATTCAATGGTGTACTCTTTGTTTCAAAATAAAGAAGGTTTTAGGGTTTTTTCCACATTGAGAATTTCCCTTAAACTGTGAAATGGTATTATACTTGAAAGAAAAAGGAAGGGCAATGTATTTAGTCACTCTAAAACTATAACACTCTTAGTCTGATATATTTTTGATTTATTTTTCATTACAGCTCCGGGCTTTGTATGACTTCGAAGCACAGAACAGTGATGAAATTTCATTCACGAAAGGTGACATCATCATCAAAACAGGCGAAAATTGTACTAACTGGTGGCGAGGTATACTGAGTGGTTCAAGCAAGGAAGGACTATTTCCTGCAGCATATGTATATGTTATGGACACATTATAGTGCCCAACACGTGGACAACAAGCCCTGCTCTTAGTGTGGGATTCCTTCTCAAAGTGCTGGAACACTGGGGGAATTCAGTTCAAGCTTGACAGCCTGCCAGACTGCACTTTTCTGTTAATTGATATTCGGTTCATGAATCTTTGTGCTTGACACTCGACACTCGTGAACCCATATTATTAAACATAGCAAATGTGATGTTTTTCAGTGCACACATGCTGCATCTGTAACAAGTGTTGCTCCCTGTGGGTTTATTGTGATAGAGGGTTCATTCCAGAGCCACTAGTCTGAGCTGGGACACTAATGTTTACAGAGATCTGTTACCATTAGCCAGAGTGGTGATATGTAAGGGAATGCTGTAATATGATAGTGCTATAACCATCATAAGTGGCACAGAAATGTCTCTTGTTTTTAACCAATGATCTGATTTTGATATAAAACATATTGTATGACTTTATATGCAGTGCAGTTGTAATTAGTTGAGTAGAATTTTAAAGGTTGTAGTCAGAATGCAATTTTTACTTTGTGAGGACATATTGACTCATTTGCAGTGTATTTTTTTATGATTTAAACTGTGGTTTAGATAGGTAAGAGAGTGTATTAGCTCTAAAATCTATCAAATCTACTTGTATCATGAAGTTTATAGAAATATCAGGACTAAACTTTTCCAAATAGATAATGGGGAGGTCGATTCCACACCGTCCAATAAAATACCAACGGGTGAAAACTCTCCTTACATGTATACAATTGTATACTGTGTAGAAGATATTCATATTGCCTTGAGCTGTGATTTATGGGATTCACAAATAGTTTGTGAAGATTCCTTGGTTTTATCTGCATTAGATGAACACCAATATCAGATATACATATATCCTCACATAGAAGGTCACACAAGTGTTTCTGTATTTAATGCTATAAGTGGGTGGGGGAAGGATGTGGGAAAAAACTGCATGCAAGATATGACTACTTTATCTACCAGCAATATAGGTAACTAAGTTTAAATGAGATGATGTGTGTATACCAAAGCTCCTGCTAGATCTGTTTGTGTTATAGATTTAGCATCGTCATTTTCATCATGTACTGTCGGTATACTTTGTTGATGGTCTCCAACTTCTCGGATCTGAAAGTTGTTTTAAAAAATTTCAAGCAAGATTATTACTCTCTTATATGAAATTTGACATATTCACCTGAAGAATGGAGGATCGGGGGTGGGGGTGGGGGGGTTGAAGTTAAGATAAGTGAAACATTAGAAAGTCATGGCAGAGACCAATTTTAAGATAAAAATACCCCAAAGATTAATTAGACTTTGGTCTTGTGTAATTTGAAACTTGTAAATGTTTTTGTATATAACATATATGAATGTACATTATTATGTACTTTATGAAAAACAAAACCTATGTTCACATAAAATAGTATGCATGTTTACATGTAGGTCATAGTTATGATACAAAGTACTTTATTAAGTGTCAATTAAGTTTGTTGGAATTCAGAAATTTAGTTGAAATTTTGCTAATGTGAAAAATATTTATGTAGGTCGTTCGGTCATAATTGTGAAAAGAATTCTGACCTGTAGGTGTATATTTGACCTATTTTCCCATGTTTTGACATTCATATCCTTTCACGGTTGATTACACTGTTGAAGGGTTGACCTTTTACCATTTTTACATTGTTATGTGCATGTCAATGCATGTTGAATACAGAATTACAGACAGTTGTAAATGTACTTTAGGATCCAGTGTGTATGAGGCGTTCTCATGTGGTTGCTATTTTCTGTAGAAGTTATAGTGATAATTGGAATTATATATGTAAAAGTTTGTTTTTTATATGTATTCACCTGTTGGATAACATTTTGAATTCTGTAAATATAATATCAGATAGATCTGCCTGCAATAATTTTATAAAAAGAAATTGATATAATTCACAATATATGTCTTACCACAATTCAATCATCTGTTAAACCAAATAATTAATTGCAAGGAAAATGTCTCTTTGTTAATATTACAAAGTATATATATCATTTTTCCTAAATTACTGTGTATCAGTCTTTTTGTTGGTTCCAATCAATTCGTAATAGCATATTTCTCATGTATAAACTGTATCCTTAATTGTGGCAACTGCTAGCTGCATGGAAGCACTTACCATTTATAATAATCCTCATCCAGTTGTTATTTGTCTTAACTTCCTTAAGTGTGTAGATAGTATGCATGCAGATATTTTGAAATAATAGGGAAAATGCTTTGCAAGAGTTTGTGTATGTAAATGTATAGGTTTTCTTCTTTGAAAAATGAAAATCACATTTATTCTCTTGCACACTACATGTTGATCCGTATTTGTAAGGATTCCACGTCCTTTGTTTCAAGTCAGTATTTCGTCCCCATTCATTTGTGTTGTGAAACTATTTTGAGATCACTTTACAAGATATAAACTGCAGACTTTTATGAATTGAATAATCATCATCATTACGTCTTACTTACTGTGTTCCTTTAACATTAAAAGTGTTCCTTTAACATTAAAAGAATGTACAATCCTCAAGAAGGTATAGTAGGTGTCTTTACATTTACACTGACTTTGTTGTTTCCAAGTGGTTTCAAGAGTTAACAAAGCATATCTTAAGGTCATCCAATCATGCTGCTTATACCAGGTGTGAATCCAACCTTAAATGATCAGTGGAGTTGGCTTTTTCCTGCATTTAGTCAGGAACAGAATTGCAATACTTGTCAGCACTTTTATTGATAGTGAAATATATATACTAGTGTTCAAAAGTATAGGAACAAATGAGGTTTTACTATGTAGAAAGTGCTTTTATATGTATAAACATATTTGAACATTCAACTTTTAAGGAGTTTTTACACCTGTTTCCAGGTCCATCGGCATGGTTTATATATGTCAATATCTTTACAAACTCGGAGGACATTTTATTTTAAGTCCATTACAGCTTATCTGGCACTAGGACTTTGACTTGAAGCAATAGTCGGTAATATGCACTGTTAAAAATTAATGTACAACTGAAATCAGAATGTTTTAGTATATGAGTTATATGCTTAACCATCAGGAATCATGCCCCAGATTTACGATTGTTGATACAAATGTAATACTGTTTACAAATGAAATTTAAAAGAAATATTCTTGCCTGTGCTTATTAAGTAACTACTTTAAGTTGTAAGTAAAGTATGAGAGGTCTGGTCCATATCTACTTGGAGAATAATATTTAAATATCTTTTTAAAGGAGTCCATTATGGAGTTTCTATATAGCTATATGACAACCAAATAGAGAGTCATAATTGGTCAGGTGGAATGATTGTTGATTTTCAATTTAAGATTATTGGTTACATGCATTTATTGATTATTCATAACCAAATTGCAAGGGTACGGTACAGAAGCTTACATTTAACAGAAATGATATGAAGAAAATCCTTTGAATTATTTTCAAAATCATCAAGGCAACTAGAAAAAAATAGCAGAATCAATGTGAATAAAAAGTCTTAAGCTGCATTTGCAACAAACTACAAACACAACAATGCAGTGACAAAACTTGCTTCAGAGTTCAATACCTCTCCTACTTTGAAGTGGTTGTTTTGTAAAATGCGTTACCTTATAATTTTCTTCCAAAACAGTTGTCTGGCCATAAGATGTATCACTTATCATTAACACTTCATCTGGTGGTGTTTTACCTGACAATGTTTTAACAGTTTTATAGAAAATTATCCAGAAAAAGATATAAACACTGTATAACGCAGTCACCAAGAGATCACACCCAAGCTATGATTTAGTCAGTTGTTTTGATGCATTTCTGTAAAATGTGGCCGACTTTAACACCAGGTGTTTGTGGTCCTATTGACTAGAGCTGCTTCTACTTCTGATTGGTCAATAAAGCTGAAAAGATGTAAGCAAATTGTGTAATTATTAGCTCACCAAGTCCGAAGGACCAAGGTGAGCTTATGCCATACCGTGGCGTCCGTCGTCCGTCTGTTGTACGTCGTCCGTCCGTCAACAATTTCTTTAAACGACTTCTTCTATTAAACCACTGATTGGAATTTAACTAAATTTGACTGAAAGCATCCCTAGGTGGTGGGGATTCAAAATTGTACAAATGGTGGGGCTGAGGGGCAGGGCTGAAAGGGGACAATTTGGCTATATTGCTTTAAGCGACATCTCCTCTGGAACTAAGAGATGGATATCAACCATACTTGACTGGAAGCATCCCTAGGTGGTGGGGATTCAAAATTGTACAAATGGTTGGGCTAACCCCCCAGGGGGCTGAGGGGCGGGGCCAAAAGGGGGCATTTTGGCTATATTGCTACAAAGGACTTCTTCTGTAGAACTATGCCCTGGATATCAATCATATTTAATCTGAAGCATTCATGGGATGCAGGGATTCAAAATTGTACAAATGGTGTGTCGGACCCCCCAGGGGACTGAGGGGCGGGGCCAAAATGGGTTATTTAGCTATATTACTTTAAGTGACTCCTTCTCTGGAACTAAGAGATAGATATCAACCATATTTGACTGGAAGCATCCCTAGGTGGTGGGGATTCAAAATTGTTCAAATGGTGGGGCTGACCCCCCAGGAGGCTGAGGGCTGGGCCACAAGGGGGCAATTTGGCTATATTGCTATAAACGACTTCTTCCGTAGAACTATACCATGGATATTGATCATATTTGGTCGGAAGCATTCATGGGAGGCAGGGATTCAAAATTGTACAAATGGTGGGGCTGACTCCCTGGGCTAAGTGGTGGGGCCAAAAAAAATGCATTACTTGGAAATGGTTCAGATCCCCACTATATAACCATATATATAATTGCTGAGTATAAAGAGAGGAATGCACATTTGCTTTCAGGATGGCCTGGGGGTCTACCCCACCCTTGGAGACTTAACCCCTGGGTCATAACTTTGAAACAGTTGAGATCCCCACCCCAAAACTATATATACAATTGTTGGGCATAAAGAGACAAATGCAGTCATGATATTAGAATTGAACCCAGGGTCTGGCCACAAACCTAGGGACCTAGTTTGTGAGTCACAGCTTGGAAACAGTTGAGATCCCCACCCCATAACCATACATAAAATTGCTGGGCATAAAAAATCAAATACAGATATGCTACAAGGATTGGCCTTGGGGTCTGGCATATTCCCTTGGATCTCATTTGGAGAATATTTTGCCATGATTGCTTAGATATCCAGGTGAGCGATACAGGCCCACGGGCATCTTGTATAGCTTTTGTTATAGAGGTATTATGTATCAGACATCTGTGGGTACCCAATTTTGGTTATTGACTCTACAAACAAATCAAGAGAAATACAAAAGAAGGAAGAACCTCTTTGAACATTTATTAAATTGATGCAACTTGCGGGTCACATGAAATAATGTGTTGTCAAAATACCAAAAATGTACATCTTTTTGTTAAAAAAGATTGTGTATTGCTATAAAACTTAAGAAATCTGTTTGTCAAGTCAATGTATAATTAGTTATACAAGCATTAAAACTGTAACTAAAAGCAAGATGTGATGTTCAAACTAATCTTTGTGCTTGAATTTGCTTGGAAAATAATTCAATGACATATTTATAGGTACTATTATTGTCAGGTGATTGTTACAGCTTTTAATAATGAGTCATTAAAAAGTCCTTGTATTAATGTTTGTGTCAGTAAAACTGGTCAATTAAAGGACTCCATATCCATGAAACAATTGAGAATGATTTGCTAGAGTTTCAGGTTTATGATCAGATTCCTAGCCAGGGGTGCAAATAGATGTATTTTAAACAAGAGTTTGTAAAAAGGATCACACTTAATAGGTTTTGCTGTATTTGTGATGTTCATGCAATAAATGCTTGTGGTTTTTACTTTATACAGGAGATTCAATATCAAATGCAAACAATTCATAGATTTTCTTGGATCCTTCGAATAAACTTTGATTTCTTTACTCTTGTTTTGAAAAAATCTTGTTATAATCATTCATCCAATTTTAACTTTACTCTTTTTAGAGAAGATAGGAACAAGCGATTTTGATTGTCATTGTCTTGTGTCAATTTAATACACAAGTCAGGTGTTTTTGTCATTTTCTGAATATCTGAAACCGCTTGCAACTTCAAAACACATTCTTGTAATAATAATAAAGTGTGTCTTTAAACTATGCATGTTAGCGTTGGGTTGATGGTTTTTGATGAGTACATTATCTATTTTTGTATAAATGTGAAGATTGTTGGAGCACTAGTCTGGTTTTGAACCGTTTTGTACATATTGTGTGCCACATTATGTCTTCTGCCTTGTCTGTATACTCTGGGTAGGCTATGCATACAGTAACAGGCACAGGTGGTTTAGTGATGAGAAATAAATTTATTTTATCCATGTATTCATTGTTTTGTGTTACCTCTTTCCAACTGACTATTGGCAGTATTCACATTTTACCCTTACTTTTTAGGATCACATAGAATGATTTCTTTTGTACCCTTTTCAGGATCACATAGAATGCTTCTCACATTTTAAACTCGCTCTTCGGATTCATTGCTCTTCAAGATCTCTTAGAGTGTTTTCTCACATTTTTAGCTCACCTGCCCGAAGTGCAAGTGAGGTTATGCCATGGCGCATCGTCCTTTTGGCCTTGAGTGTGTATACACAGAGGGTGTGGCCTTCCTGGGGGAAGAGGGGGGGAAGCCCAATAGGGGAAATTGAGGTAAATCTTGAAATTTCTTCTCCTTCTGAACAAATGGTGGGATTTTTAGCTCACCTGGCCCAAAGGGCATATGCAGTGGTCTGGCGTAAACTTTTTACTTTACACAACTTCTAATGAATAACCAGAAGGCCTAGGGTGTTGATGTTTGGCCAGTATCATGCTGGAATAAAACACTCCGAAAGTTTGTTCAAATGAATGACCTTGACATGTATTCAAGGTCATGGGGGTCAAATATGTTAACCAGAAGCATGCTTTGATAAAGGACTACCAATTTTGTTCAAATGAATGACCTTGACATATAGTCAAGGTCATAGGTGTCAAATATGTTTAAAACATTTGAATGACTTCTTCTGAATAACCAGAAGGCCTAGGGTGTTGGTATTTGGCCAGTAACATGCTGGGATGAAACACATCGAAGTTTTTCAAATGAATGACCTTGATGTATATTCAAGGTCAAAGTGGTCAAATATGTTTAAACATCTTTAAATGACATCTTCTGAATAACCAAAAGGCCTACGGTGTTGATATTTGGCAAATAGCATGCTTGGATGAAGAGCTACTAAGTGTGTTCAAATTATTGACCTTAATCCGTATTCAAGGTCACAAGGGTCAAACATGTCAAAAACTTAAATGACATCTTAACAAAAAGATGGCTAGGATGATGACATTTAGCAAGTAGCATGATGGGATGAAAGGTTTGAAAAGAATGGCCTTGAATTATATTCTAGGTCACTGGAGTCAAATATATATATATATTTAAATGACACCAAAATGCAAAGGATGGTGATATGTGACCAGCAGCATGCTCAGATGAAGAGCTATCAAGATTGTTCATGTGAATGACCTTGACACTCTTTCAAGCTCACATCTGGTCATTTGTGTATAAATCTTTAAGTCATCTTCTCAATGAACAAAAGGTATAGGGATATGATATTAAGCATGTTGCATTCTAGGATGAAGGGCTATAAAGTTTGTTCAACTTCATGTCCTTGTTTGACTTTTCAGGTTACATGGGTCAAATGTGTTTTAATCTTAGAATATTTTTTTTGAATGACATTGAGTCAAGACACTGACGACCTTGATAGTAGGTCAAGGTCATTTTCCTTCTCAAACTTTTTTGGGCTCTTACCAACGAAGCTACCAGCAACATATTACGATTTTATACCTTCAAGTTCTTCAGAAGAAGTCGTTTTAGTATTTGACACTTTTGACCCCTGTGACCTTGATATTAGGTCAAAGTCATTTTCTTTCTCACACCTTGTTGGGCTCTTACCAACTAAGCTACCAGCTACCAAAAAAACCCACCAGTAACGATACGGAGAAAAAGTTAATTGAAGATATTCAGGAACTAGAAAGGGGGGCACTATCAAGTAATGTTGAGTTAAATAATATTGACATAAAAAAAGAGAACTAGAAAACTTAAGAAAGCATAAATTAATGGGCAATATGATACGTTCCCGAACAAAATGGATAATTGAAGTAGAAAAGCCAACTAAGTACTTTTGTGGACTAGAATCTAGAAACTTCACCAGTAAAATTATTCCAAAGATAGAAAAAGATGATGGTATAGTGATTTTAGAACAGACAGAAATTCTAAATGAAACAAAACATTTTTATGAAAATTTGTACAAAAGAAATACTGCTATACAGGATGTAAACTTAGAGGACTTGTTTAATCCATATGATATACCTAAATTATCTCCCCTGGAATCATTATCATTAGAAGGACAAATAACTATATCTGAAATGGCAAAAACACTAATGAAAATGAAGAATAATAAAAGTCCTGGTTCCAACGGCTTCTTTGTTGATTTTTTTTAAGTATTTTGGAAACAACTTGGGCATTTAATTGTCAGGTCAATCAATTTTGGTTATTCAGTTTCAGAACTGTCAGTTACTCAAAAACAAAGAATTATAACATGCGTCCCAAAAGGCCACAAACCCTGTAATAAACTAAAGAAATTGGCGTCCCATCACACTTCTAAATACTATTTATAAGATGGCATCCGGCACGATAGCAGAAAGACTCAAAACTGTAATAACTAAATTAATTAGCAACAGTCAAACCGGTTTTATTCCAGGTAGATATATTGGAGAAAATACACGTTTAATTTATGATTTAATGCATTATACTGAAGAAAATGACATACCTGGTCTTCTATTGTTAATTAATTTTGAAAAAGCTTTTTGCCTCTGTGCCTTGGAATTTTATTACAAAAACTTTAAATTCTTCAATTTTGGACCATCACTTATGAACTGGGTCAACCTTTTTCAAAAAATATACGCTCTGCAGTTAACATAGGAGGGAACTTATCCAAATT